CGTCACCCCTGTGAGGGGCAAATGATTAGGGTATTTAACCTCGCCACGTGAACCAATAAAATTCTGCCACGTGTCACCCACGTGGACCAACCATAGTCCGCCACGTGTCACCTTGTGAGAGGTCCAAGGTGGACCAATCAAGCCACGACACGTGGTAGACAGATTGCCAGCTAGGAAAGTGGCCTTTAACGGCCCGAATTCCTAGGCAAGCCCAGTCCGTCCTAGGTTTCTGAAACCTAGTACTGGGCACGTATTACGAGACCCTGTAAAAGGGAGATGTTCCCCCTGGGGAACATCATTTAGAAATTATAAACACACGTGTACATTAGTTGTTGAGCATTAACTCCAGCTTTAATTGCACTTCTTGAGAGCTAAGGCTCAGATTTCGAGGCTATCTCAGATAGCCAGATGATCACTCCTATCCTAAGAGGAGCATGATCCCCCTTTACATTCCGCACTTTTTACATCCGAACACGTTCTAACTTGATCGTCAGAGGCGGAACTCCCACCCATAGGAGTCTCCGCAGGACATCCAAAAAACCCCGAAATAGTTCATACTTATTAAAATCTTGCATTCAATCAAGCAAGATAACTAACTTTCTCCTTCCCAACATGCTTGCATTAATCAGATGAGAGTCATGAGACATGCTTAACATTCATTCAAGAAACTCAACACAACCAATCTTATTCATGATACTAACCATGCTTGATTAACATGAACGTTTTTGAGGTTTCAGAGTCCCAAGAGCAAAGTAATATATTAGGGCTTTATTACTACAATTGGTTGTAACATAGTTTTTTAATATAGGAGAAAAAAATGGGTTTTTATAAGCTATGCCCCTAAGGTAGTCAAGTTTCTAAGGTGTACCCATGCTTTTTCAAATTTCTAAGTTATGCCCCTCAACTCACTACCATTAATGAATGGTACCCTCCTTGGGACTTCCACGTCACCTAAAGTTAACTATAAGTTTAATAAAAGGATGATAAAAGGTAAGGAAATGATAGGAGAAAGAAATCTTAGCCACCGCAACCCTAATAACGAAAACTGAAGCCACGAAATCACACTCTCAATTAACTTTTAAACAACTAATAAGGGTACATTTTAGATATTGATAAGTAGTTGAAGGGCACAGCTTAGAAACTTGAAAAAGCATAGGTACACCTTAGAAACTCGACTACCTTAGGGGTATAGCTTAGAAAAACCCAAAAAAAATTTAGGTTATTTTGACTTTTACCACCTCCAAAATACAACTTATTGGCTTTTACCACCAATCACCTCCAACTAACCGATTCCTTCCATAAATCCATTAGTGGGGCCTACCATGTACACGTATCACCATACTATGGGTAAAAATTTTAAAAAAATATTAAAAAAAAAACAAAATAAATTAAATAAAATCAAAACCCAGCCACTTACCGGCTCCCGGCCACCGCCGGACCGACTACTAGCCGCACAGCCGGACCGACTAACAACCCCACCGCCTAACATCTTCACCGTCTAAAGTAACGATGTGGCAGACGATATATGGGTTTGCGGTGCATTGCCCCCCGAAATAAAGACCGGCTACCATCCCCACCACCAACTCGCCACACGGCAGCCACCACACAGCCACAACCACCGCACCACACAACGCACCAGCCAAGGCCAAGGATTCCGACCCCCCCCCCCCACCGAATTCCGACCCCCTTTCCACCAATTTCTGACCTCAAAACCCTAGCCACCGAATTTCGACCACCCGTAAAGCCCCTCCTACCGAATTCTGACCACTTTTAAAGCCCTAGCCCCACACGAAATTCCGACCACCGAGGTGAGTTGATTTCGTTGCCGACTGGTTGACATGGAAGATCGGGGGAGATGAAGAGGAAACGTCAAAAAGGTGGGCCCTACTAATGGATTCATGGACGGAATCCGTTAGTTGGTGGTAAAATCCAATTTTTTGAAATTTTGTCGGTGGTAAAATAAAACTTTTTTTTTTATGTAGGTGGTAAAAACAAATAATTGGTTTTTTGGAGGTGGTAAAAGTCAAAATTTTCTTTTTTTATTACTTTAATTTGAATAATAATCTTATTTTAATCGCTGTTAAAAAAATTCTAATACAAAAATCAAAGCAGATAATACTGTGTACAATGTAAGAATAATATACTTGTATCCTTTAGCAACCCTATGTAGATACAAATTATGTAAAAATATACGTAAAATCACCAACAACACTAAATAGATACAAATGGGTCATCTACCTAAATTGTCATAACAGTATGACCGATTCTCTCCAACAAATAAAACTGATCACTAATTTGTTCATAATCTAATATTCCCTCCGTCTATTCAACAAAAAAAAAAAAAAAAAAAAAAAAAAATCCAAACCAAACCAAACCAAACCTTCTTTCCTCCCTATTTTTGATAGTCTAATACCATAGCAATGGAATCAAAGTGAATTATGTAAATAGTGATACGTATTCAATTATCGGGTCTTATTGAGGAGACGATTTGATATCTACACATTTAAATAGGGTCAATTCGAGTCGGGTGGATGATACTCGTTTGGGTTGATTTTGGATTTAAATTGGTATGACTTGGTCATTTTTGGCTTTATTGCCAATGTGCATATTTTGAGAAAAAAATAATCGTTATTATAAACACTAGTTTTGTGTCCCGTGCGATGCCCGGGTTGTTTATTGAATTTTAAGATAAATTTTTTTTTTATCTATATTATATATGTTATTTGAATTTTCTACTCATGGATTAATAATCACTTGACAATCATTCTTGTAAAATAAAAAAATATAGTAATACCGCTCATAAAGATGTGGGTGGTTGTAAGAAAGAGTTTGGGCTTGTAGTTCTTGAAAGTGATGCAAATAGTATAGTCAGAGCAATTAGAAGAAATCAGTTTAGAGTTGCCCCTATTTTCATATTATTGGATGAAATTTCTAAACTAAGTTGTGATTTAATGTCTTTAATTTTAACTACATGAGAGATCAATATGAATTCAGAATACTTATGTATGTATGTTTTCCTCCAAACTTTTCAAATTTTGGCGGATTTTAATTTAATTTTTCTAATATCTGTAATTTAAAGCTTGAAATATTTGTTAAGTCTCTTATTAAAATATATTATAGAAGTAAATTGATTTATTTTGAAGTAACGAATATTATGATAATAGAATAGTAAAAATATAAGATAATTCTTAAACCGCCCGTCTTGTGTGTGGCTGGCCACTCCATGTGGCCAGCCGTAAAAAAAAAAAAAAACAAAGTAACCTATATAGCACTGATTGAGTAATCTCTATAACACTGACGAAATAACCCCTATAACACTAACCAACAAGTAATTCCTGTAACACTAGCCAAGTAACCCCTGTAACACTGACAATGTAATCCCTATAACTAACCGAGTACACCCCATAACATTGACCAAGTAAACCCTATAACACTAACTAAGTAACGTCTGTAACACTAACGAAGTAATCCTCACTATGGCTAGCCACATATAAGAATGTGTGATTATTGAAAGTTATAATTTAACATTTTTTATTTTTGAATAAAGTTATACGTAGTAATTTAAAGAAAGCAAATATTAAAGTAGAAAGCTAGGTTTGGCAGAAGTGTAATGTAGGGATGTAAAAGTAGTAATACTCCGTATACAACTAAAAAGAACGGTTGTCTAAAGCTGTTATCTCTTTTCATTTTCTCTCAACATCTAGAGAGAGGTTGGTTACATGTTAAGACTTAAGATAACGGTTATATATGATAACATGTCTCTTTGATTTTTTTTTTTTCCCTTTTATTCCTCTTTGGATCCACCATTTGTATAGAAATATTGGGCATTATAGAAATTAAAATAAGATTCTAAACCAAAATTTTTATTGAAAATAAAACTCTAAAATAACTTTTTTATCCTATTAAATATATCCAATTTTTTTTTATCCTATCCTGTAAAAATTTATTCAAATAAACATATGTGTAATAATAATAATTAATTGTCGTCTACGTGGCGCGACACTTGGCGAAAAGTTGGAATGCCAAGTGAAAATATATTCAAATAAATCATACGTGTCATACTAATAATTAATTGTCGTCTATGTGGCGCAACACTTGGCGAAAAGTTGGAATGCTAAGTGTCGCTGTCTCGTGGACTAGTTAAATATTTAGCTTTATATATTTGTTATATGATTGAACATCGAGGTAGTTCAGTTCAAGTTTAGTGATTTCGGATAGAATTTAGCTCCTTAGAGTTGGATCTTTTGTTTTTCAGCTGATATACTTATATTGAATACTCCGTATAATCATTGTTAGATACATTGATTATTATTTGGCCAGTTCAGTTTAAAACGGGTCAATTTAAATAAGGTTAATTGGGAAAATTTGTCAATTGCAGCTTTAAAAAAAAATTGAAAATTGATGCCCAAAAGTACTAATAATTTGTTAATTGCCACCCAATTCAATTTTCCCTCGATTTGCATGTCGAAAAATGTTCGGTTAAGGTTTTAGCCTTTTAGGAGTCATTTTAGTACTTTAGGATCCAAATTGAGCTCGAAATTAGTAAAAAATTAACGTAAGTGTTTCGTTTTGCGGCAAAAATATAGTTGCACACAAATCAATACATTTCTTTATATGCAAAACGAGGTACTTACGTTGACTTTTTGCTCCGTGCTTAATTTGGATTCTTAAGGGGTAAAATGACCCCTAAAACCTTAACGAAATATTTTTTGACATGCAAATCAAGATAGAAATTGGATTGGATGAGAATTAACAAGTTTCTTTACTTTTGGACTGTAATTTTCAATTTTTTAAAATGACTGCAATTTGTAAAATATAAATTTTTAAATGGTTCAAGTGAAACTTAGATTTAAAATCGAGTTATTTCGTATCACGGATTGGGTAACTTATGGGTTTGTTGTGCCAGGTCGAGTCGTGATTCATATGGGCCGACTTTCTAAGCAAAGATGTCCAATCCATTTTTCTGGTAATATTCACTCCATAATTGGCGGGTCGAATAACACAATCCTTTGTCTTTGTCTCACTTTCAATTCTCTGGGTCTTTCTCTCTTTTTCTCAAGAAGTACATACAAACTGGATTTTCCAAATTCTTACCACATTACCAAAATTTCCCCCAATATCATCAAAAGCCTTAACCTTTTTGAGTTCTCGAACAATACCCAGTTCACAAATTTGCCAAATTGTTTCACCTTTCTTCTGAATTATTCGAATCCATTACTTAATATTGGTTAGTTACTATTCCTAATTTGATAAACGTTGGTAATTTCATCCGCATATTTATTCCTTACTTTGCTTTCAATTTTACTTAATTCCCAATAATTTTCTAATTAGGTTTCTAATTTCCTTTCCCCAAAATTTAGTTTTGTATTTCTTCTTTCTAGTAGATTTTGTTTAATTATCTTTCATTTGTATATTTACTGTAAATTTATATTTTGAGAGCGATGAAATTGTGTGTGATTGATGAATAATGTTTATAGAATTTTGGTGAGTTTATTCTGATAATTTAGAAGTGTATTTATTTGTTTGGAGTTGAAAATTATGACGATTGAATAATTTGTATTCCATTTATCAACTTAAGCATTGTAGATTTGTAGGTATCCTTAATATTTTGAAAATTTGATTGTCCAATATTATTAGTAGGCTATGTCAATTTAGCTATATACTCATTCTAGTAAATCAACTCATTGACATTGGATAGAATTTGGAATACAAATCAACAATAGCCTACGAAATCTTAGCAATTTTCGCGCTTTTTAGGTTGCTAGCTAGCTGAGCCAGTGATGAATTTTTGTTCCGTAGCAAAATGCTTTTGATGAATTATCTTGTGTAAACTTGGTGTATTTCCAAAGGCCAGAATAATCTTAAGAATTTAGGTAATTTAATGTTATTTGTTCTCTGTAAATTAGCAGAGATTTTGTTAATTTAGATGAAGTTTTCTTCTTACATATGTTCGTTTTTTGTCCGTGCGTGTGGCAGTTGATGCTGAAGAATATGACATCTCCATCAGAGATGAGGGTTTTATATGACAATCAGGATTGGAGTTCTTGATTTTGGGTACGCTGCTCGCAACAACACATCTCATTATGGATTCTGAATCTGAGGTGTTGTTATCCTATTTTTCATGTTGTGAATTGACTTCTTGAGTGTGCTTGTGGGGAAAGTGAGTGAGAATTTTTTAGCACTGTCGATGGAGGATTCCTTGGGTGCTCCTGATAATAATAGAAAGGGGCTCAAGCGTATTGTGGTTTGTGGAAAAACTGTACCCTTTAAATGTTTGGTTGCGTCCATCCCAAAGAATTCAATGAAAGCTTTGCAACGTATCGTTAATGTGGAAAAAAATATATTGGGCAAGGCCACTTTCACTGAAGCTGGACTTTTCCTCCTGAAAGTTGCAGTTCTGGAGGCAGTGAGGAGGTTTTCTCAGGCTCACTGTCCGTTCTTATGGCGCAGTCTTCAGGCTTTGCAATTTCTTTGTTTACCTCCACTTAAATGGATTCAGAAGTGGGGATTATTTAGGGGTTTGGTTAAGTCCATGCAGGTTGGTCCACTACTCTCAAGGCATATGTGTGTCTTGTTAAATTATGTCTTGTACTAAATGGTGTGTCATTTATTTTATAAAATCATACTTGTATATGATATAATCTTAGGTTTCTATACATTATTTGAAACTCTTGAGAGCTTCAATAAAGAAAAGTGTTTCATGGTTGAAGTTGAAGGAAGCTTTCTGTGTTTGCATCTTTAATTAGTACAATACGATATCAGGTGCGTCTAAAGGATTCATTGTCACATTGGCGGCATTCTTGTGTATTTGCTTGTTTTTATTTTTTGCGATCCTGAAACAACAGTGCTTTTGACGGAGATATCTTTGAATTGTTGGGCTTTTGGCACTAGTCAGTCTTGCAATCAATCTTGCAGTATGAGAAATAGGCTAAAAAGAACTAAAAATCCTCAAGAAAACCAAGGAACTTAAGCACAGAAAAAGGGAGAAACAAGACAGAGGGATGAGTCTGTTTAAAAAGTCTTTTTAGGCTCACAAAGTTTAATTGATGAACTTTGAATGGTAAACTGAATGTTGAAAAAATTCCTTAGTGCTTGTACCAACGCATTTCCAAGCATGAACCCGTATGCTGAAGAGAAATAATTTAATGGTTTTTGTAGGGGAGTAACTCATAGTGAGCAAATTAAACAATGTGTGTTTATCTCTTGTAAGGTGAAAGCTTTTCCCTTGGGATGCTGCTCTTTACTTGTTCTTACAGAAAGTTGCTAATTATTAGTTCTTCTTGCGTATAGGTGTGATTTGATATTCTTTGATTTGATTTATTTTTCTACAATCATGTTGTTTTGTGATAGGCTTTATCGAGACCACTTTTACTTCTCTCAGTTGCGACACCCTTCTCTAATCAATCAGACAATGTTGAAGAAGATCCAGGAAATTCAGAATCTTCAGATGCTTTTCAGCCAAGGACTGATCCACAAGCTGATTCCTTGACCAATGTAGCATCAGATTCAAGGTGATCAATGTTGCAAATTTTCGGATATCATTCTGATGTGTATCTACTTTTGACTTTCATCATACTTGTATTCTATTCAGCTCTCAAAGAGTTACTTCTCCATGATTTTCCATCACTATCTTCTCTCTTTCACTTTTTGGAGTCGTCCCAAAATTATCTTTAAACTTTCCATTTTACACTCATTACCTCTTTGTTTTGTTTATGATACCTGTCAGCGGAGTAATTGAAATTCAAGCCCCGGAGAAATGGATGTTGCAACTTTTTGCTGAGCTAGAAAAGGAGGGAATTGTTCTGCCAGAGAGGTGATTACATTTCATTTATGATACTTTTATGGTTTTGTAGCTGTTCCTACTATCAATTTAGTGCCTAGGCTTTAAAGAGAAATCCTTTATACACCATCTTACTTTCTTTCTTTCTTTCTTGCTTGCTTTCCTGCTCGATTATTTGAGTTTAGTGGTATCAAAACAAGTTGCTCATAGTCATAAAATAAATTGATTCTGTAATTCTAAATATGGCTTTCCTATAACTGATCGTGCACATGTAAAACTTGTTATGCCTGAACCATGGTGCAAGGCTAAAAGATCGCCATGTTATCATGACTACTGTAACCTTCAACCTCCGTTACCCTCAAAACTGAAAGACCATTGATTGCCAGCATTTTCCATTTTGGCTGACGTGCAAATTCAATCCTGTTGCTGCTGTGGCTGTGTTTCTATTTTTTTTTTTTTTTTTGGGTTTTTCTATATAGTAACCTCTAATTTCACTTTTCTACGTTGTGCCCCTTCATTTAGAACTTTCTACACTGTAACCCAAAAATACATGTAGTTTCTATACAGTAACCTTACTGTTAAAAAATTTCGTTAGTGGGGTCCACTCTTCACTTATTAATATTTTTTTTTATCGATTTGCGTGTTGGAAAGTGTTCCGTTAAAGATTTTGGGGCCTATTTTGGATCTTAAGGGTCCAAATTGAGCTCAGATTTGACAAAAAAATAACGTAAATATCTCATTTTGCGTATTAAAAACGTAAACACGTAAATCGAGACATTTCTTAATACGCAAAATGAGATGTTTACATGTTTTTTTTTTTTTTTTCTCTCAAATCTGAGCTCAATTTGAACCCTTAAGGGCCAATGTAGTCCCCAAAACCTTTAATGGAACACTTTACAACACTCAAATCGATAAAAAAATATTAATAAGTGGAGAGTGGACCCCACTAATGGAATTTTTAAACGGCGGGATAATGGCAAGGTTACTGTATAGAAACTAAACGTAATTTGGGGTTACAGTGTGGAAAGTTCTAAATGGAGGGGCACAACATAGAAAAGTGAAAATTAGAGGGTTACTAGGTAGAAAAACCCTTTTTTTTTTAAGGTGGCTTAGAGATGACAAAATATTTTAAGAAAAAGTACATATAGATAAGTTCAGAATATTTAAGTTTTTCAGAAAATTTCATATTAATTCAGATAATATCATACAAATTCAGGTAAAATAAGTTCAGACAAAATAATGTAAGGTTAAATAAGTTCACACAATATAGTATAAGTTTAAACAAAATCAGATGAACCAAAGTACCAAACGGTGCTTTAGTATGTTAACTATGATATGCCATTTTTAGGAAAATGTTGGAGAAAGAATAAGTCATTGGCAAAAGTTTACCTCAAGAGAAGTGTTTATTTATTTTTCTATCTCTTAAAAAATCTGCTTAAACCCAAATTGAGTAGGGAAGGCATAGTCGTAGATTTGTACATAATATAGAAATTGAGATAATATGGTTGACGAGCTTGTGGTTGCAAGACTTGCAACTGTGCTGCATGTTCTGCAGTACAAAGTACTCTCTCCGTCCTCAAATAATCTTCATTTTAGGTTTGGACACACACACACTAAGGAGTTTGGTAGGATGGGCTGAGAGTGTGAAAGAAATAGATTTAGTGGAGGAGTCCTTTTCACATGTTTGAGTGGGAAAATTTTCCATTTTAGGTAACAAGGAAGATTTTAATAAAAATGTTGATGTAACCTTTCTGCAGGATTACTGAGGATGACCTTTGTAGATTATATCATGTTGCGAAAGGTAATTTCTCAAGATTCTTATCTTCGGTCAAAAGAACAATCAACTGGAGGCAAAATTATAGGTTTATGTCGGTGCAAGAGCTTGAAGAATGGTCGGAGATGGTGTTTTGGCATGGATATGATATTAAGAGACACCCTTGCTTAATTGTTCGTGTTCAAGCTGCATGCTCTTTTATGATGTCCGGGGAAAGATATCGCTTGCCTGAAGTACTTGGTATGAATATAAAACATAGTAATGCTTGTTATTGTGTAGCACAATATATTTTTCCTTTCTTGATTGACAACAGGCTCTCAGTTTTTTCAAAGTTGAGAATAGTTGGTTTGAACTTAGAACATATTTTGTACTCAGCATATATTTGTATCACTGACAAATTTGAGCTGCTTTTATTTTTGTCTGATACTTAGATTTTATTCTATTATGTGCTTATTTATACTCCATTAACAAAAACACACATATCAAGGTAGTTCAATATCCCACAAAATGGAGGAAGTTGTTTGTCTAGTCCACCTTGTGTAACAGAACTTCAGTACTTCCATGATCAACCAATTAACGTTATTCATTTCTTAGAAATTAGAACTACATGTAAAATATAACGTTCTAGGAAGTATTACTTCCTATGTTCAACCAAAAGGCTGCTATGAGACATTAAACAGAACAATATTGATATTGACTTATTGACATTTCCTAAATTTAAATTTGGAATATTTCAGTTCTATCAGGATTGGAGTTGCTTGTTTGGAATTAATATCAGCTGCATTAAATTTGTGTGGGAGCTATTTATATATGTTGCTCGACTTCTTGTAATTTTGTCTCTTTTTAGTGATCAGATAGGCAGAACATTTTAGTGTTTTGTCGTTTTATCTTGAATTCAGATACAACTACCCTCAAAGGATTTTGTACTGACTGATTCATTGCCTCAGCATGTTCTGAGCAGAAAAGGGGGTCTTAAGACCATCCCAAAGAACGAACTCTGACCCTTTGAGATGATGCTGGAGGCAGGGGAGAGAGGGATGATGATAGGGTGAAGAACCGGAGGAGAGAAGTGTGAGGAGAGAGGAGGTGGGGGGGGGGGGGGTTGGCTGTAGCCTCTAGTTTTAGGTCAGATTATATGGTTATATTAGAAAGGGGCAACTTTTTTATTAGATGAAGTACGGTTAAGTGGTTAACATTTTCCCTGTTTCCCTTAATTATATAAAAATACCTTGATTGGTCAATTTTTAGTTCCTCCATTTACTTTCTTTTTCCACTTTGATTTCAGCATTGTACTTTTTTACTCTTCTTTTTTAATATGCTTCTTCTATACGGGCTATACCTTTAATGCTGCGATATAAAAAACAAACTGTACTGTCTGTTTTTTTTTTTTTTTTTAGTTTTTTTTTTTATTATAATGACAATGCTCTTCCTGCGTGTCCAACTTTGTGACAGTGCCTTAGCGTCCTTGAGGTATAGAATTAGTGTATAGGATCTTGATAAATAGCTGTATTTAATACCCATGTCTAGCCTAGAAGAAGTGGTTGCAAGACTTGCAACTTAAAACATTCTTTTGACTTTCACATGTTGCTTTTATTTTTCATTAAATATTATTTCTTGTAGCTAGTTGGCCTATAATAACTCAAGCAAAATCCTATGGCAATAACGTGTGATTGGAAATTCATTTTAGTACATCCCAAACTGTTCAAAATTGACATGGGGCAAAGTCAATTTCCTAGGGCAAATTAAGGGATAAACAGTTGGCCGACACCATGCAAATAGCATGGGACATTGGGAATATATACTATCAGCACTGCAAAATTTTTTTTCTTAAGAGCAAACTTTGATTGCTTACTTTTTCTTTTTGATTAGTTTCTCAGATAGAGTATGGGATTCTCCACCTAGTTCATGCAGAAGATCCTGTACTCACAGTACTGATGGACTGTGACGGATTAAGTCCATTTGGTTTCCCTATACACATGATGAGATCCTGTGCTATGCTTTTGCAAGACCATTATCCAAATCGGCTTGCTGCTTTATTTGTTGTACGACTGCCTCCCATCGCTCGTGTGATTGCACAAACACTTTTTCAGGTGAGCTGTTCTGATGTTATTCATGCCGTTATCTCTTCCTACATGCTTTATGTATGGTTTCCAGTGTCATTATTACATTATACACTTGTCAGATTATTATAATCTGAAGTATGGGTATCTGCTATTTGTACTGTAAAGAGACAGTTATTACAATCAGTGGCAAGGAAGGGATATGTCTAAACCTTTTTGCCAACCATCTATTGCATGAATTAACTTTGCATGTATGCACATACTCATACAAAATATTTAGGATTTCCAGGGATTCAGTGTTTGTATGTTCTAGTGTGGGACAACAGGTATGATGATTTTGCTTCTGCTACTTTCTGAATTCCACTGCTCTTACATGAGGATTGGGATGGAGCAGGCCAACAGGGCCTATATCTTAATCAGACCTTATAAGACAGATAAAAGGACTCATCTTGGTTATTGTTATCGGAAAAATAAGCTATGCGTTATGAAGTTTTACTTAAAATCTTTACTTACCAATACATTTGGAAAATACAAAGATTGAGACTTTAATTAGTAACTAGCCCACACAATGTAATTTGAATTTGGAATGGTTAAAAGTGTGATCAGCTGAGAAATGCGGCATACACATCTGGATTCTCCTTTCTGTTTTCAGAAAGTGAGCATTTGCCTATGTACTGTTGTTTATATGCCCCCTAGATGGGGGAGAACTGTAGCATTTGGGTTAAATTATTAACTATGGCCTGTTAACGAAAAAGTAAAAAGTGGATAACTTTTGAGTTTGGTCTCAGTGGATTACCTTTGAGTTGTAATCGAACAATTTTAGCTTCAATCCCTTCTCATTCAGAAGGAAACCAAATTCTATCTGCAGTTGAGTCAATACTGTTTTGTGCTGTTACCAGGTGTTGAGACCAGGAACAAGGCGGAAACTTCGAATTTTGGGGGAGGACTACCAAAAGGTTTTGTCAGAGTATCTTCAGGCGCTTCCTTCATTCCTGGGCGGTGACTGCTCATGCCCAAGATGCTCAGACTCTATTGGTAAAGAGAGTAATGCTGTTGGACCGGTTATAGAATATGAGGCTGAGAATGTTTCATCCCATCCTGCTTACCGTGCTGATGACTTTGAATCTATTAAATGTGATAAGGTATTGAAAAGCATCATTATCGGCCTTCTCCTTCTTCTGCTATACATTGTGTTGACTGTTCGGTTTCATAGCCTGGAAGGCATAAATCTGTACAAAAGAGTTGGTTGGTAGCCGGTAAAACCTTCACCTGTTTTTGACGCCTTCGTGATGAACAGACGTTATAACTTTCGTGTATAGAAATTATATACAGTGGAAGAAGTCAGAAATAAAAATGTTCCAGATTGGATGGTAATGGTTGCTTCCATAATAAAGTCATGCAGGTTTCAGGCCACACTTATGTTTAATTTTTTGGCTTCTTTTGAAATAGTTCACTTGTTTCAGTATTGTTGTGAATATGCGAATTTCAATCTAGTTTCCAAAGGATAGTATATGCCTTCCGCAATGATGAATATTCTCAGCTGCTGCATTATGTATTTATGTGTCTAATAAATTGTAGGTAGATTTAATGGGATTTTTCCCAATTTTGAATTTTTCATAAATAATAGCAAATTAAATTATCCTTTTCCTAAGTTTTTCCAGACACATTTCAGGTAAATTCACTCCAATAATTCACTCGAAATAATGCAAAGAAAAATTCTTAAAAAAGAGGCTAGACTATATGAGTATTTTTGTACTCTCTAATTAGGAAATTTTGAATTTTAAACACCACAAAAAAGCCAAAAAATGGTTTTTAACACTATAAAAAAAAAAAAACTTTTATTTTAACACCACTTAAAAAATTAAAATTTTGAAATTACCACCTAAATCCAAGTTATGTTACCGGAACAGTTAGTAGGGCCCACTCCAACGGATACTTTTTTTTATTTCCCTTTTAAGTAGTCACGATATTCTCCTTCTTCTTCCATTTTACAATTAATCTTATACTTGAAGGTTTTGAACAAAATTGCAAGAATTCGAGGAGGGGATTGCACGATAACCATAAAGAGCAAGAGATTGAAGCTGGTATGAGGTGTGTATGCACATAATTAATTGTGAAAGTTGACAAATTATAGCCCTAATTGAAATCCTTTTGTTTGATAATTAGATGCGTAATTGATGATGTTTAGCATTTAAGCATGAGTTTTCGTTCTTATTTTGTCAAATTGATGGATTAATTAGTGCATATAATACTGAATTTGCCCAATTTCAGAATTAGGGTTCATCAGAATTCAAAATTGGGGGGTTTTTGTATTAGGTAATTATAATCAAAATTAGTGTTGTAGAATGTGAATTAGTTTGTATACACATCATTGAAGGTGGTTTTTTATGTGAAATCAATGCAAGTTATGTCGTTTATTAGCTCGTCTCCTTCAAAGGACCAAAAATGCCAATGTGGTTTGCCAATGTCAAAGCTTACTAGCTGGACTAGGGAGAACCCAGGGAGGAAGTTCAGCAAATTTTTTTTATCCAATTACAGAAACAAGGGGAGCAAGGCGTTTCAATGGGTTGATCAACCTGATGGAATAGAGTGGCAAACACAGGTTATTAACAACATGTTGTTGGACAAGAAGTTGCTGAAGGGTGAAGTTAATGAATTGAAAAGGGAAGTTGATGATATCAGTGAACAAAGGAGGTGCTTGCTAAATGAAATTGACAATCTGAAGATGAGGTGCAAGGCCTTAACTGCTGACAGGAAGAAAATGAACAGAGAAGTCAAGCAAGGAAAGATGTCCTCCCTGGACTGTGTTGTTTATGTTACCATAATCATTGGTGTTGCAATGGCAGTGTGTGGGCTATGTGTAATTTAGGGGTGTTTAGTGTTGAATCTTGTCCTAAGTTGTAATGAATTTAAGGGTTGCTTATGTTTGTACCTTTTTTTAAAAAAAATTTGCTCTGAACAATGCAATGTAAGTTTGAAGGTTTGCCTTCAAATATATTAAGTTATAAACAACTATTTCAAGCAACACTTTCCCTTCAAATATATTAAATTTAGAGGCATTCATAGCCTTACAAAACTAGTGTTGTGAAAATGTTCAGAAACAAGCAATAAAACTACTGTTCATAACAAGTTAAGAGGCATTCATTGCCTTACAAAAACTGATAATATCGTTCTAAGGACTGAATTCACTAAAACATCACTGAGTCAGATTCATCTTGCTGTAAGTTTGAAGCTTTGTCCTAGTAACCACTCCACTTGGTGCTGCACTTGTTGCTGGTTGATTTAAAGGAGTTTTGGTCTGAGCTTTGGCCTTAGGTTGTTTCTTTGATGGCTCTTTAGATGGCTTACTTGACTGAACTTGATCAAAAACTTGCTTGCTTAGAGGAAGACAACTTGGTTGCTCCAATGCTATTTGGTCCTGCCCCAACTGCAGACTGTCAAAACCATAACAGTAGTACTAAGCATAGCTGAGGTTGATAAAAAAAAACAGCTTAATAATGGTAACAACATGTTAGACCAAATACCTTTTTAGTAGCCCTTAGCTGTTTCACCTTTCTCTGCTCTTCCACCCAAGGTGAGTTAATAGGCGGTATCCCTGCTGACTTTGGCATGTCAGAATCTGGTTGAGAAGGGAGTTTGCATGTCTTTGCATAATGCCCAAAGCCACCACAGTTCTTGCATTGGTTTTTCCTTTTAGATGTGCTTGCCTAGCTCCAGCAGAAGACCCCTCTCTATGTTCCAGCTTTCTCTTCTTACTTTTTGGTCTCCTTGGCTGAACTTTGATTACTGGTGGCTGTGGTTCTCTCATTTGAACTCTTTCCCAGTGCTTTGGTCAGGCATAAGCTGAAGTGGGGGTTCATATGCTTCCCTGTACTTGTCCAGAGTGTAGCAGCTATGAACATATGCTTCTATGTCTGCCATACTGTCCAATATGCAAGCATATGCATGCACATAGGGAATTCCAGTTAATTCTCAGTGGTAACAACTACAAGTGCAGTTAGCTAAGTCAACTAACACCTGGTCATCTTTCAGCTGCACCTCATAGATTTCCCCCCTTGATGGTTGCACTACACAAGACCTAGCTACATACTCAATCCTCTCCAACAACTTCCTCACATATGGCACCAAGTTGCCTGTCATGTGCTTTGAATCCTCCCACTTCTCATTGTTCATGTGCATCATGTATCCTCATCCATTCCATCTGGGTGAGGATAGGCTTGTCTCTTGCATCCCTTATCACTGCATTGAAAGTCTCAAACATGTTATTCAACAACGTGTTAGACTTGCAGTTTGGTGTGAAAGCATGTCTAGACCAATGATGAGTGGGGATGTTTTGCAAATACTCATAAGCCTCTTCAGACATGAATTTGATTGACTTCATTTGTATCTCAAACTCAAATTGATAATTTGCATTCAAAACCAACAACAACCACATTCAGACTAACTAAATGACAACATAGGTAAACAAAATAGGAACATGTTGTACAAATAAACAAAGTAGGAACTTACAAAAGTTGTTGCCCTTGCTGCACTCCAGAATAGTTATTTGAACACTGTTCCAGTAATTTTGAGCTTGAAGTTGGCCCATATGTGCCTTACACAAAAACGAACCTCAGCCTTTGGTACAACTTCAGCCATGGCTTCAATCAAACCCTGTCAAAGATAGCTCAACTTTGTTACTAAATGGTTGCATGACATTAAACAAAAAAAAAAAAAAAAAAAAAAAAAAATGAAAGATAAGCAAAGAAAACCATACATTCTGTCTATTAGACATGAAGGTGAAGCCAGCTCCTTGATCCCCACCAAGCATCTCAAGTAGAGACTCAAAGAACCACACCCAAGTTTCTTTATTTTCTATCTCCACTGTAGCCCAAGCTATAAGGAATAGGCTGTTATTTCCATCCTTAGCCACAACAACTAGAATTTGTCCTGGGTAAGCACCTTTAAGGTGGCACCGTGGCAGCCATCCACACCAATGAGTGGCCTGCAACCCCTCAAAAACCCATCTCTTAAAGGCCTCAAACATATGAACATCCTTAGAAATAGAGGTGGCTCAGGTAAAAACCATCAACAACCACATTATATTGCAACCAGATCTAGGGTTATACCTCATAACTGCTTTTCCATAGTCCCAGATCCTAGCATATTGTTCCCTAGCTGATCTAAAGATAAGCAGCTTAGCCCTATACCTTGCTAGCCAGGCCTTGAAATAACTAACTTCTATTCCAAAGTCATTCAGGATCCTATCCTTAATCTATTTGATTCTCTAACTAGGGTTACTTCTAAAATCTTCCAAGTATCTCTCTGCTATGTAATCAGCAGTTATCATCCTATTTTTCTTGATCCTAATGCAAGTGTGTTTCAACTTTAAGATTTTAATTTGCCAGGTTTGTTGCTTAACTAATTTCCTAGCATGGACCTTAAAATAACACTTCACTCCACCCACACAAGTGCATGCAGGCATCCTACAGGTGTAGCTATTAAACCTACAGTCACATTTAGACCTACACTGCACTGTAATCCTAGTGCTATCATTATGCAAATAGAAAACTCATACCTGTTTAATTTGAACAACATGCAACCTCAATGCCTTTCTCAAACCTGAAGCATTACTGAACTTCTGCTTCAACTTCAGATCTATAGGTTTTCTAAAGTCTACAGTTGCATTAAACCATAGAGCATTGTCAATTTCTTCATCAGAACCAGCCACACTTCTGGAGTCATCAGAATCAGCCTCACCCTCTTCCTTTGACTGGATTTGACCTATGTTCAGATCCTCATTCAGTTGTGACCTGGGAGCTTTCCCTATCCCTTGATCTTTTTCACTCCCAAGACCCTTTGTAAGACTCTTATTCACCTTCTTAAGAATCTGCCCTGATATTTGAATAAACCATTCTTCATCACCTTCATCAAATTCTTCTTCTCCAGGTTCCCAATTCAAATCATCTTCACTGTACTCTGAACTTGAGTACTCAGATGCACTCCCATCATCTTCAGGGTCATCCTTGAACGCCAAAGCTTTCCCTTTCCCCTTTGCCTCCCCTCACTACCAGATGCATATATTCCAAACTTAGCTAGTTTTTCCTTCCCTGTTTTTGTGAGATGAATTGTCCTAGGTTGTGGATTGTTTTCCTCTTCAACTACTTCACTATGTGCTTTGTTTAACCTAGGACTCTTCCTAACTGGCATAGCTACACTCTTCTTTCCCTTGTTGTTGGGCTTAACTGGAGTAGATTGGGCCTGGTTAGGGTTGGGCCTAATAGGCTCTCCTGCTGTAACAAACACTTCCACATAACCTTCATTAGGGGTGAACACGGTCTGGTTTGGTGCGGTTTGAGTCCAAACCAAACCAAACCATATTATTATTGAACCCGGACCAAACCAAACCGTAATAATACGGTTTGGTGCGGTTTGGTTATGATGAGACGCCATTTTTCCTAAATATTGCCAAATAATACATCATTAACTTATAATAAAGTTTAAATAATTAGCCCAAACGGATTAAATTGTATTATAAATTTACAATGAAAATAACAATCCAAGTGCTAACACATAATACAATAACAATCAATTTATCATCATAAATTTATAATACATTATAGTCATTATTATAATTTATACATATGTCAAATTGGCAGCAACATGACAAGATTGATAACATCAGGGGCTAACAGCAAGCCAACATTATTACCACGTGTTCAAGCACTCATCCAACACCAACATATTTTTATTTTGATTATAAGTTTATGACCTACTAACTATATAGCCGTATATTCGTTTACCCTGTTGTATTTTGATTTTTCATATTCTTATTTTTTTTTTTTGAGTTTATAATAACTATTTAATTTATTTAAAAATTATATAAATATTAAAATACGGTTTACTGGTTTACAGTTTGGTTTGGTTTATAATTTTTGAAAAACCAAACCAAACTGTAAACCGTATTTTCAAAAAAAATCGAAACCAAACTGTATTTTTACAAACCGTAAACCAAACCAAATCGCTAAAATGCGGTTTGGTCCGGTTTGATTACGATTCTGACCAAACTGTGTACAGCCATAACCTTCATCATTAACTGACTCCAAAAGCCCCCTTATATCCTCACTATTCTCTATTTTCCTCTTTCCTGTGTTAAAAGTTTTACCATTTTGCCTATACCAAATGCTATAAGACATAGGTACAAGCATGTCATATTTGACATAACCATGGATAGCAACTTCCCTTATCAAATGAACATCCAACTTAGACACCTTGACATCCCTCCTCCAATAACACCACCCCCCACACCAAACAAGCAACTGCCTCTTTTTGCTGACTCTTTTGGGGACAAACCCTCCCCCACTCTTAGACAAAGATCAATTGTGTTATCACTGTTGTTGTCCATTGTCTACCAACTAGTAAACCAGTATAAAAAAGAGTACAAGTCAATATCCAATTAACAATTATAATACCATCTTAAACTAATCAATTAAGCTTATTATATCTCCAATTTCATAGCACCAAGCACAAGTTCCAATGTCATTGAATAACAACAAAAAAAACACCCTATTAAGCAACAAATTATAAATTAACATGCAACAAAATCAACATGTACAACACACAATGCACTACCACGTAATCACCCATTATAATTAATCATTAATTTCAGTTAAATAATCTTCAAAACCTAATTCGCACAGTCAATCCTACAATTTCATTTAGGGTTTCTGCCCTGTTTTCGAAATTATCCCAAATTTCAACATCAATTTGCAACTTTGACATCAATTAAACCCCAAAAAGCTACACGAAATGCTATAAAAGGATAAAAAAATACCTAATTTGGAATCTTTCGCCAGTCTTTGTCAGTATCCCAACAACTTTCGACCTTTTTCGTTGAGGAAGATGGGTGACGCTTTTCGCTGAGTTGGTTTTCATACAAAGTTGACTGCTCTCCTCTGAAATTCACTCCTCAACCACACAATTTAGGTTAGAATTGATAATGGTTGAAGAATTTTTTGGGTAGATGTAGATATTCGAATGAATTGAATGCAGAAGGTGGGTGAGTAATCAATGAAGGAAGAAGAATCGTAAATACAAGGTTGAACTTTGGAGGTAAAAAAAAAGGTGGGCCCCACGAACATTTTCTGTTACGGAAGTTGTTAACTGGTGGTAATTTCAAAATTTTAATTTTTTAAGTGGTGTTAAAATAAAAGTTATTTTTTTTGTAGTGTTAAAAACCATTTTCTAGCTTTTTTGTGGAGTTAAAATTCAAAATTTCCCTCTATTTATGCCATATATTTGTATTTAACAAGTTTATACATCGGTGTAAATTTTTCTTTTTTGAGGAATAAACATTTAAATTGTGTTGGAAGGTTTTGGTGGCCAACTATAAATTTACTGTTTTGATTGGAAATTCAGAGAGAAGATCAAAACAATTGAGATCCATATCTATGTACTACCTCCGGTTTTTTTTATGTGCAACTTTGGGGCATATTGCGGTTCACGAAGCAAAAGATTGAAGGGTAAAGTTTATGAAAAGTAAGTGGGTTTAATTAAAGGGGAAGGAGAGAGAAAGTGCAGGCCACCCACTAGTTTCTTTGGTGGGAAATTCTGGCAGAAAGCACAAAGGCCATATTTCCCCCCAAAAAAACCACCGAAAATTCAAAGATGGGTTTTTTGGGGTGAAATTTTTGTTTCCCCCCATTTTTTTAAAAATTTGCTACCAAACTCAATTTTTTTCAAATAATTTAGGAGGCTATATAACCAGCCAAGCCACCATTTGATACTAGCATTCAGCATTTAAGGAGGGAATAAAAGCATCCTCCATTGTCACACATTAATTACAGCCACAATTGTTTGAAGCTGGGTGAAACATTCCAGCAAAAACAGAGTTTCTTCCCAAAAAATTACACCTTCCTACCTTAACCATTACGGTTAGCTTAATTACAAACTACCTAAACTGTTCAAAGCTTTACAAAAAGAGGGCTGCGCTGCTGTCATTCCTGCACAACAGGGTTTAGTCTTCATCTTCAACCCAAAAAATCAGCAGGCCCCTCACTCCATCTCCCTATGCTGGAAAACAGAGACATGGCAGAATATGTGGATTCTAATTTTTTGATATCGAACACATTCTAAATGAAGAACAGATGGCAGAGTTGTGGTTCGATGAAGAAGAAGAGATGCAGGATGCAGGCATTTGGGAGTATGATTCAGAAGATGAAAGCATGGATGGTCACCAAGAAGAACAACAACAGCAACAACACATAGACACTGAGGTTGCTTCCTCACAAATGCAACAACAGGCTCATGAAGGGACTCATAGTGTATGCAGAAAGCAACTAACATTGCAGAAAAGAAGGAAAATTGTAGATGCACTTTTGGTGAAAATGAACAATGGGACATTACCAAGGGGTCACATGAAGCAGTTATCATCTGAATTCAATGTTCACAAATCAACAATAACAAGAATGTTCACAGAAATAAAAAGGCAGCTGGCAATAGGGGACTTGATTGATGTCAGGACTAAAATTGGCAGAACAGGGAGAAAGCCATTGCAAATTTCTGATGAAATTCTCCAGTCAGTCCCATTACATTTAAGGCAGACAGAAAGGAGCTATGCAGGAGCACTGAAGATCAGTCACAGTACAGTTCACAATTTGAAGAAGAGAGGAAGGCTAAGAACACACACAAGCTGCAACAAACCATTACTGTCATCAGACCATAAGGTAGCCAGACTAAGATGGATTTTGTCACACATAAATCCAATTACAGGAAATGAGGACCCCACATTTGTTGACATGAGGAATGTCATACACTGTGATGAGAAGTGGTTCTACTTGAACCCTGATAAAAGGAGGTTTTATCTACTACCAAGTGAAGAGGATCCTTACATGGCAGTTCGGTCAAGAAGATTTAAGCTCAAGGCCATGTTCATGGCAATTATAGGGAAGCCATTATATGGCATAAATGGAGAAATGTTACATGATGGGAAGTATGGCATCTTCCCATTCACTGTGCAGCAAGTAGCATAAAAATCAAGCAAGAAAAGAGCAAGAGGGACTATGGAAACCAAGGCACTCCATAATATAAACAGAGAAGTAATTAGAGAGATGCTGCTAACAAAGGTCATTCCAGCAATCATGTCAAAGTGGCCTGAAGGTCTGCCCAAGGATGTGGTCATCCAATGGGACAATGCAAGGCCTCACCAAGTTCCTACTGATGCAGAGTTTCTGGAAGCAACAACAACTAATGTCTTTAACATTCAATTTGTTTTTAAGCCAACACAGTCACCTGATTTGAATGTCCTTGACTTAGGGCTTTTTAGGTCTATACAATCTTTGCAATATCAGTCTTTTCCTAAGGACTTAGAGGAGCTAGTTGAAAAGGTCAGAAACTCTTATGACACATTCAACCCCCATGTTAACAAGTACATCTGGGTTACTTTGCAAAACTGCATGATTAAGATACTCAAGGCAGAAGGTGGTAACAAGTACAAAATACCACATATGAACAAAAAAAAGCTTGAAAACCTTGGCAATCTCCCAGAAATAGTAGAAGTTTAGTAAGAGGTAGTAATGGGGGTTGTGGAGTACCTAAACACTGTGTTTAGGCCAGCAAATCAAGGCAATGAAGAAGTCACAGAAGATTTGGAGGTGGATGCAGATTAGGGGACTCATTACAAGAACAAAACAACACATGGACTGCCACACATAACCACTTATCTAAGTAAGTTTGTTTATTTGTTTTTTAGTTGAAAAATGTTGAAGAATCTAGTGGTTAGGTGTATTTTGTTCATTACAATTATCCAAACAAGTAAGGCAGTCTGTTGTAATGTCTTTAGATGATGGTATGATCTTTTGTAATGTTTTATGTTCATTAGTCAAAGGTATTGTCTGTTGTACCCACATTTTTAATGGAATATGATTGACAAAGATAAACAATTTATGTGGGCACTCAATCCATCAGAGGGTTATAGTGTCATTGTTGAATACTACTCTAATGCACAAGGGTACCTCAACAACAACAGCATTATGCATGTTGATGGAGCAAATCACTAGTGATTAGTGAAATTCAATGGAGTCCCTTCATCATGTGGATATGGGTAAGGTAAATAGCACATCAAACTATGGGACTCAATACAAACCAGGATACACAAGCTAATCACAGGGGACTCCTTCTAAGGGGCTGACTAGGCAACAATGAACATGCACAAGATACCAGCCTCATCATTCATCAATCAAATCCACACAGCCAATTTAGTCTATCCCAAGGAACAACAAAACAATCAAATCCACACAGCCATCATGGTCCATCCCAGTTAACAACATAACTTTCAAAACAACACACCCAACATAGTCCATTCCTATGAACAACAAAACAGCCAATTCCACACAACCAACATAGTCCATGCCAATCAACAACAACACAACCAACTCCACACAGCCAAGATCAAACATAAGCCAACATATGTTTAGGCCAATCAACAACAACACAATCAACTCCACACACCCAACATCAAACATAAGCCAACATAGTCCATGCCAATCAACAACAACACAATCAACTCCACACACCCAACATCAAACATAAGCCAACATAGTCCATGCCAATCAACTCCATCCCAATCAACAACATAAAAATCATTACCATTAGGATTATTTGAAAGCCAGTATATTCCAACAATACAACAGAACAGACAACAGATACAACATTATTAAAAAAACTCAACAAACCCTAGTATCCAGCATCACAAAAATAACACAAAAACCCAACAACATACCAAAGGCCTAGAAAAATCATAAGCTAACCCAAAATAACACAAAAAACAAGACAAGGCAACATGCATCCAGATCTAGTCATAGATTCCCACAACAACAACCACATAACGAAGCTAAGCGATAGTCAATCGAAAAAATAAAAAAAATTGGGACTCTTTTGTAAAAAAAATTAACTGAGTTAGGGTTAAGAAGAGTTACGCAAGGGTCACTTGGAGGGTTGAACCCTAGGGTTCAGGCGCCTCACACCGTGATTCTTCCCACGACGGCCACCTCCTTCACCCTCCTCCCCCAAGTCAGCCTACCCATCAGAAGACACCACAACGACGTCGTGGTCAGGCAACCCCCGCAAACGCCGCAAAGCCACCACAACCACCTTCCTTTTTGGCCTAATCTTCGCCGGAGGCCTGGACGGCTTAGATCTGGACTTGGGGAGGGGCGCAGCACTACCCTCCATACTTTCGGAGTCCAGATCTACAACAACAACATAAAAATCAAGCGCTTTTTTCCCATGGGACTCGGCTACACCCTCTGTCGGTTTTTTTTCCCCACCCTCATCCATTTTTTTTAAGAACTTCCCCCAAAGCCTTGAAAGTAGTCGGAGAACAGCAGCTTGGCCCATCTTCATGCTCGTACAGTCGACGGGGAAAATCATCACCCCTGTTGATATCATTAATCAGGGACTTGATAAAAGTTGCCTCTCTGTGGTCATCGGTGCCAATATAGGCGTCGATTAGTGGATCTAGGTCACCCATGGTACGGGGGGACTCTGGTTTTCGAAGGAAAGAGGGGGAAATGGAAGATGGCAAGAGGTAAAATGGAGAGAATTAGAGAGGCAAAGGACAGAGGAAGGCGAAGAACAGGGGAAGACGAAGAACCAGAACTAGGGTTCTTAAGAAGACTCTATATCATTTTAATGTTGGTGGTTGGGAAAGTTAGTGATTTGTGTCAGTTGGGAGGAATAAATGGAGGGAGTAATTACATTGGGGTAATTTAGGTGATTTGTGTTAAATGGGGTTTATGGGTAATAAGGGGTAAAATTAAAAACTTTTGAATTTTTAAATAAGGGTAAAATAGTAATTTTAAGGGTTTTTTTTACCCAAAATGGAAAGAAAAAAGAAAGTTACACATAATAGTGAGCGGATTAAAATTGCAAAAGTTGCACATAAAAAAAAGGGAGGTAGTATTTGAATTTGTAATAAATTGTTGTTAAGTGTTCAACAACACATTCGTTCCACATTAAAAGGCATAATAGATCAGGAAGGAGTTGTCATCTTTTTGTCTATCAAAACTGTCTTCATCCAAAGGTTACATGACAGTAATTATGCATTATATGAACCCAAACTGTGTTAATGTCATCTACAACCTATCAAATATAAGTTTTGTTAAGCGCCTCCATAAACCTTGTATTTCTTCAATTGCCTTCATATCTGGGGTCGGCCATTACATAATAGTAAGCGATGACAAGCATGAACAAGCTGATTCCAAGTGAATTGGCCAAAAACCCAAGCATCTGATCGTCAAACATCTGCAATAAGACCAAAGAAGGAATTCAGTCGTGACTATGTCTAACCAAAATTTGGCAGTAGTAGCTGCAACGAATAATATCTGTGTATCAATACTAAGGATGCACTTGAAAAATGTAATTCCATATGATAAAAACAAGGCATGCTAATATGCATACTTGTTTCTCAACAAACAAAGTATGCACATAGTTCTCACATTCTCCCTCTGGTCTAATAGGAAAGTAGGCATCAATTATGGAATTACCAGATGAAAGCAAAACAATGAAGGTGATCCTTCATTACTACACATCTTTTTGATCCATTTGCTAATTTAAACAGAAATACTCGAACCACACTGCAGTGCCAAAGAAAGAGCTAAGTAGGCCAGCTTTTTAACATATTGCAGAATATATTAAATTGTTATTTCTTAAACAGTGACAATGATCCTTTGGTAAGCTTACTGCCTGCTGACTGATCATTTCATAAAATCTTTCGCCAAGAGTTCATATAAGTCAAAACATGCAAATGGGTTTGACACCAGAATTCTCATATACAATGGAATAAGCCTAGAATTTTCAGTCTACATAAAACGAGTTAGCACCTTGTAGTAAAAATTTTGGAGCTTCTAACCTCAATTGTGAAATACAAAACCTTATGTTGGCCTCAATGAAAAGTCACTGATTCCAGGAGTCATTTTTTACTAATTCAAGTTATCTATTTAAGACTCCAAAATAGTCCTGTATCAGTGTGAACCAACTCAAACAGCTACTCCTGTTACCGTGCCATATAAATGAAAAGTTGAACAGCCCAGGTGGCTTAATGTCATCCCCCCCCCCCCCCAACCCCCCTGCTCAGCCAAAAACAGGAGACACAGAAAAATCTAATATATCATCACAATAACAGGACCAGCAGCATCCTATACTCTGGTTCATCATAACATAATTTAATGGACTGATTTTTTATAATTCTGATTTAATAATGCAAGTAAATAAAGAAGAAAGCTTTAAGATTAATTGATGATGGTGAAAGGGTTACAAAAGATAAGTTAATAACTTAAGGCTATTACCCTCAAATAGTGAGTTTAGCTCACAAATCTCCAAAATGGCTTTAGGCCATGACTCTAAGGTTACCCTCAATACAAATTTCTGCCTGCCTTCTTCTTTCTCCCCTCTCTCTATTTATACTAAGGTTACAAACTACTAACCTAATAATGCTAAAGGAGGTACTTCAAGAGTCCTCCAACGTCTATAAGCTTTCTCCCTTTGAGGAGAAGCCCAGGATGCTCAACAAATGAGGGTATCATGTCAATAGGTCAAGTGACCTTCATGGAGAGAATGAGTTTGGGTTCCCAATCTAACTTGGCTTTAGGCCATTGGGACTACTCATTGAGTTGCGAGATTCAGGTCTCGCCTATACATGGTTTGCAATCCTCTACCGGTAGCAGTTCCTTATTTCCACTACTTCCATCAAACTTAAGACTCCATTCAATTCCTCCTCAATGGCGATGTCATAGTTTCAGTTTTACTTCTCCTAGTTGTCCTACAGCCTCGACAGGCACATGCAAATCGTGTTTTTGCAGGTTATTGGAGGTTCAAAGTCATCTACAACATCCTTCCGTTTCACGAAGGCCCCAAGCATGTTGTCTACCACAAGTCTCTCTTGTTTTATGTTTAGTAACTTTGTTGGTTTGGTTTGTTGTAGTTTGTTTCCTTTGGACTTTGTAATTGCCTTTTATTTATAAAGTTCTCTGTGTCAAAAAAAAAAAAAAAAAAAAAAAAAAAAAAAAAAAAAAAAAAAAAACCCTAATAATACTAGATTTCCGAAATTGCCCATACTACATTTGATAACTACTAGCATACTAAACTACCCATAATACCCTCCCCTAAGTCAGTTCATTACACATAGCACCAAAAAAATAAATAGATTTTCGATCCTGGGCCTCCAGCCTAGATTTTCAAACCATAGATCAAACAAGAATTCCCATGATTTATAGCCTCTTTGTGAGCATCGACTTCAGAAATATGACAGAAAGATGTGACATAGGTCTATATCTCCGGTTCAAAGCTATGTAATACTTGACCAAGTGCCAAACACATGAATGATATCCAATAATAGCCCACTTGATACATTACCAATAAAACCCAATGTTAAACCCCACTTAGAAACTCAACTTCAGACCACCCTGAAACACTTAACATAAGCCAGCCAATTAGCTACATCATGTATACACTCAGCATAAAACTAGTTTACATACCTATTCTAGTTACAAATTAAGCATGTGGAGTAGCCTCAACGCAACCAATTCACTCATGTTACCAAACAACAATCTCAATACCTATATTTGAGAACAAAATCTAGCACGCACACTCCAAACTCAACCGAACAAATTCAAATCTTTCACACTAGACAGCCGATTTAACAGTCGAAACAACACCCATACTCAATCTTTCAAAATGCACAAGCAGCATAGCTCCATATAAAATGGACAATACCTTCAACTACATCACATCTTATACTGCTTATTAAACTAAACACCCTATTGAGTAAATATCTACTATTGCCCTCCATCCTACACAAAACCCACAAAAAACCTCAAACAATTAACTTTCAATTGTATCATATCAAAATAATGAAAAAAGAAAGGCGATCGCAGTGGGATTCGAACCCACGACCTTTAGATTCGGAGTCTAATGCGATATCCACTCCGCTATGCGATCCCTGCAATTTATTGATATCTTACTATATTTCAATTCTTTTATATCTTATTTCCCCTAATTCACATCATCAGTTTCTGCACAACCAGACAAACCCAGAAAAAATTGAAAAACTGCAATTAAAAGCGACAATCTTTCTTAACCTAACATCAAAATCAATAAAAACCCATCTTCAATAATTCCAAAACTCAACTAATAAACATTCAAAAATGACAAACAAATCTGAATTCATACTTTGAAATAATACAGATCGAAAAAACTTCATAAAGAAATGAAATAATATATATACAAAATGTAAAAAGAAGGGATTGATCTATCAGGATGTCCATTATACATTTGAATACAACCCTTTATTTTTTCACTAGTAACTCTTTTAAAAAAAGTAGTTGTAGTAGTAAGGTACATTCGAATGTATAATAGAAATCGGCTTAAAGATGATTGATCAATTAGCGTCATACCTAAGATTGCTGAATGGAATGAAGGTGAATCTACCAACCCAGAATAAATTTTAAGGAGGAGGATGAGAGAGAAAGAGAAAGTGAAAAATAATTTCTGGGATATTTGTAGTTGACAAAGTGTCAACGATGGAATTTTTTTTTTTTTAAAAAAAATAAATAAATAAATAAATAAATAGGGATTCAGATTCGTGATTTGATTTTTGTTTTGTTTTTGAGAATCAGCAAATATTGTGCTGGGATTCGAGCCCAGGTCTCCACGGCCACAACGTGGAATTCTAACCACTAAACTACAGCCACTACTGCTGTTGTAATTTGTGAGCTAAATACTAAAATATGATTGCTTTCCTTCTAATATTTTTAAACACATTTCACGAATGTTCAAACTTATCCACTTAGTATATTTTTGAGATCTTACATTCACTATATGTTTAGGGTAAAAATACCCTGTCCACGTGGCCCAATCACGTGCTGACATGTGTCAGCATTAGAGGGGTTCTGAGAGAACCAATCCTCTGGCGATATGTGGCACTCTAGCATATGAAAGGGGAACTGGTCTCCTCTCACTATAAATTGAGGAAAATCCTCATTTATTACACTTTCATAAATATACACACAAAACCCGAGCAATATTCAGAACGAGACGCACCCGTTCCAGTGAAACAAGGGAACGGGGCAAAGACAAAGCTAGTCCTAGCAGCCCAACCGTTAAGCCGGCTGGGCGACCCCAGGCGACGGAGGGTGCTGCAGTAACTAGAGATGAACTCATGAAATTCATGATGAGTTTCAAAGGGGAGATCAAGGACCTAATAAACAAGTCAATTGGCACCAACAAGGGTCAGTCGGCCAAGAACCCTTCTCCCTCCGAGAAGAAGCATGTGAAAGATCGTGTGCCTACTCCTCACCCTAAACCAAAAGGGGCGGACGTGCCCATGATCAACCTGTCCAAACTTCGTTTCCCTTAATCAGGGCAAAGTAAGGCCATCCGGCAAGTTCAGCCGGATGGGTCAAAAAGGACTTACTCAGATGCCTGGATGTTAATCCAGCAGAAGGCAAGTCAGCAATTGTCTGAGTCGGCCTTAACATCGACTTACCCAGACAGTTTGCAGAATACTTCAATGAAGTATTCGGAAACAAACCAAGAGAGTCAGTTACGCGGCATGTCCGCACGAACTGGCCCTCAGATTATCCAACCGGCTCCGTATGTGCCCCAATAGCCATACATGCCGTATGGATCACCATACATGCAGCAGGCCCTCTTTGGGGGTCAGGCGGCACAAAATGTCCAGCCCATGGACTGGCAGCTTTGGCTGCTAAACCTTGGGGAATTGCCGTCGGCGTTCTCCAGGGAGATAACCGAGGCGACTCAGCCGGCCAAGGTTAAGAACGTGTTGGTTGGTACCTATGACGGTACCACCAACCCGGAAGACCACCTAATGACTTACACCAACCTCATGTACTTACAGGGGTTGGATGATGCCTCCTGGTGCCGATGCTTCCCGACAACATTGAAGGGCATAGCCCAACGATGGTTTGGCAATCTGCCAGCCGGGTGCATCAACAACTTCAAGACGCTTGCATACCTGTTCGTGTCCAACTTCTGTATGAACATCCCAGCCAAAAAGACAAGCCTTGACTTGGGGGCTATTCAGTAGGGAGATAGGGAAGGACTAAGGTCCTATGTCAGGCGGTTCAATCTGATGAGAATTCAGATTCAAGGGTTGTCTGACGAAGTTTCCTACACAAACTTCTTCAAGGGTCTGAAGGACAGGTCGACCTTTAAGTTCAACCTGGTCAGAAAGAGGGTTGCTACCCTCCAAGAAGCATTGATGGAAGCCGAAGCCTACATACAGG